AGAGAGAGAGAGAGAGAGAGAGAGAGAGAGAGAGAATTCTTCACTTGACTTGCATTTAGAGAGAGACGAGTCTTCCCTGGAATTTAGAGGCAGGAGATGCCTTTTCTTTAAGCTGAATGTCACCACTGAGAAAGGCTGCTAGAGAGAGAGAGATTAATTTTCTTGTAAACTAAGAGAGAGAGAGGGTGAGGTTTGAACGTAGATAACCATTATTAGTGGTTGACTGAAATTGACAGCTTGATTTTATCTCAGAGCCATGGGTGCCTTGCCATTTGTTCATTTAGCTTTTTCACTGAAAGAAAATCTAAACAGGGCTCATATAAATATGGATCGTCTATCTAAAAGCAATTGAAACTAATGGTCTAAGTTTTTTTTAAAAAGATTTATGGTTTTTAGTTTTGAAAATTGATTTACTTTTCATATTCATGATAAAGATTATATATTATTTAAAAATTTAAATTGAATTATATTTCAACGAGAAATTTATTACAGGGCCCACATTTCTACATGTGCAGCCATGGCAGCTGTGTAAAAAAACCCATGGCAGCAGTGTCACTCTACCATATATTTGTATAATTTTTTGTTGCTTTTTTTTAATGGGATTTGGGGTATTTAATGAGCAAAAATGGTTTGATAGGACTGAGGGCTGCGGGCATCCGGGCCTGTCAAAGTAAGTAAAGCCTCACCTCACACCTCATCTAAAATTATAATTCAAGCATTGAAAAACCTTTACATCGATCGATCATGATAGTTGACAAAAAAAAAAAAAGATTTTAAGCTCTAAAAATAGTGTATATTATAAAAAAATTATATAGACGGTCTATTTTTATTTAAAAATAAATATTTATAGATATACTAGATCTACAGTACTTTTTTAGTTTTAAATTTTATTGTTGACATTGAAAACTGATTTTAGAGTTATCATGGTAATTTTCTTTACCGAAATTACTTTTTGGACGAAGATTTGAGGCAAGACTTTATTTTCTTTATATAAAGACCAGGCCTTATATAAACCTCATCGTTCAGTAAGAGATGAGGTCAATGCTATGCATCCTGAAACCCTACTCGAAGTGATGGCATGTAAATTTATATTTTGTTTATGATTGTCGAATTTAAAATTTAAATAAATTTTGTAGATTTAACCTGTGAACAAATTCCATGTCACAAAATATAGTTTTTAGAGCTTGACATTTTTTTGCTTGATATACTAATATTGAAGTCGAGATGATTAATTTACAAGTTTTTACAATAATTTAAAGTGCAGCTGCCTGCAAAATAACTTTAATTTATGAAGAGAATGCCCGTTTTGGTTATATAATTGTTGGTGGCCGAGTACTGGGAGTCGACTCTTGGCTCGGGTAAGTCCTATAGGGCCAAAAGGTCCTAAACGAATTAAAAAACATTTGACAAAATAAAAAACATGCCATAAAAGTATATTCAAACCTAAAACACCTTTAAGAAGTTGCGACAAAGTTAAAAAGTAGACAAATATCGATTAAAAAATAGTAAGAATCTAATTTTCAATTTAGAATATTTTTAAAAAATAAAAAAATAAAAAAATATAAAAATGTGATTATGGCCAGAATACTTATTAATCTTTGTTAAATACACCTAAATCATAAAGAAATAATTATATAACATTACTTTATTTTCTATGATTTTTATTTTTAAAATTGTTTTAAATACGATAAGATGTGTCCAAGTGGACTAGGTTGTAGATCATGGCGCAGGGGGCAGGGTAAACGCCAACCCTACGATCACGTCTTGCGTAGGAGAGGACAGACGACGGAGATGGACCGTTTGATTCCTTGTCCAAAGTGTCACTATTGGGATTTGTCGGAGGCGGGTAGATTCCAAGTGGATTAGAAATGGATTCACACGCCAAGGCTGCGTGGTAGAGAGAAGATGCAATATTCTAGAGAGAGAGAGAGAATGACATATAAAAAAAATAAAAATTCAAGAGGGAGATTATTGGAGAGATCTTATCATGAAATATGATTTTCAAATGAGAGATTGTTAATAATAGTGTCATGAGACTAGGCCGAGGCCACTCGGAATCAGCTTGGAGATATATAATCTTACATTCTAAAAATAGTTTAAATCAAATAGATTTATAAATATTTGAAAATTTTGAAAATCAACTGTCTAGATAATTTATTGTGAGATACACTATTTTTAGGATTCAAAATGTTTTTTTTTGTTTTTTTTTAAATTCATACATTTAGATGTTGAGATGATGAATTATATGGTTTTTCTTCAACAAAATAATCTTCTATGACGGATTTTCGATGTACATTTTAATTCTACATTTTAAAGTTGCTGTGATTTTATATAAACTTTTTCCTATATTATAGTACAGAGCTCGCGCGAGATAGTAATGATTGAGACATGAGGAGAAAAGAGTTCAGATTTCGGACTAAACAAATGAGGAGAGAGAAATAGTGTAGGTATGTTAGAGAGAAAAAGAGTGGGAGGGTGTAATTTAGGGGGTATAGACGTTGCCGTAATTGAGTTGGGAGGAGAGGACCGAGGATATATTATCCAGTGGAGAGGCGTGATTTATGCGCATTGGGCCACTTTCTTTGGGGCTTTTTGCCATTTTCCTCCCTCTCTCTCTAACTTTTGTACTTTTTCATTTGAAC